TGCATCGTGATTTGGATGCAGATTTACTTTCAATTGCTCCTTACTTTACCTGTTGCATGTGCTTTTAAACCACCTGGATAATTGTTTTACATTGTGGATCCCTGTGCTCAGGTGCTCCAGGGCTCCTGCCCTGCTGAGCCCAGCTCCGTCCCACTGCACCTGCGTCCCCTAAGCGTGCCTTAACATTTAATCAGTTACATTTGTATTTTATATAATATTGCAGGTTCACAACTGTACTATTTGAATAGTTCAGTTAAATTTGCATTCTAATTATCATAACATCATAGGGTCTTAGCCATAATATTTAATTTAGACAGGTTAATTTGTATTTTATATGATACTGTAGGGCCTTGATCTTCGCATATAAATTACTCAGGTAAGATTGTATTTTCAATAACACTGTCAGGTCTTTTTCCCCATTTCAATTTTAAGATACATTTGCAATGTGTTACTTCTCTATTGAAAAGTATTTTTGACTTGACAGCTGTTGTGTAAAGTTTGATATAGAATAATTTGACTATTTACTGTGGATTATTGACTTGACTTCTGAGTATCCTAGTTTGTTGTTGTCTGACAGATCAGTCACTTTGAAACCTTTTTTGTCTTTAAACTGCTATATAAATAAAGCCATGTGATGTTATATAATTTGGCCAAAGACATGACCCTATTTGGACATACTTGGTTGCTTTTGGAAACTTTTGGATCTGCACAAGACTTTTTTATTTATTTTTTTTTAGCTTTTTTTTTTCATGTGGGTTTGGTTGCAGATCTACCTTTAATTGCCCCTTACTTTACCTGTTGCATGTCCTTCAACACCGCCTGGATAATTGTTTTACAGAGCGGGTCCCTGTGCTCAGGTGCTCCGGGGCTCCTGCCCTGCTGAGGCCGGCTCCGTCCCACTGCGCCTGCGTCCCGCGGCGCGCTGGGAGACAAACAGAGCAGCTATTGTTAGCCGAGGACCGGGCAGCAGCAGCGGCAGGTTCAGTCCGGGTTTACCCCACACTCACCCCCCACCTGTTGAATATTCACACGGAGGGCCGAGTCACTGTCGAAGAACAGAGTCAAAGCGGTGCACAGGTAAAGGTAGGAAAGGAGGAAGGAAACAAGGAAGGAAGGAAGGATAGAAGGAAGGAAGGAAGAAACCGAGGAAAGGAGGAAGTGAATGAGGACAAGTCGACCGTTGGGCTCAACAGGTTAGCTACTTCAATGTTGTAGCAGCGGCTCGGACTTTTTTCTCTCTCTCCACGTCGAAAAAAAAACAAACGAAGACAACACAAAGATGCCGCTGGGACCATGGAGGAAGAAAAACAAGTCGACGAAGGAGCATTTGGTGGAAAACGAGGAGGTGAGCGGCGGACACGCAGGTGCCGGGAGCCTGAGTAAATCCGCCGTGAACGGAGCCGGACTCCCGCCTCCACCTGCCGAGCTGCGGCCGAAACTGGTGTTCCACACGCAGCTGGCTCACGGCAGCCCGACCGGCAGGATCGAGGGCTTCACCAACGTCAAGGAGCTGTACGCCAAGATAGCAGAGGCGTTTAACTTCAGCCCACCTGAGGTAGGAGCTCACCTGGTGCTGCAGGAGGAAATGTCAGATTTGGTGGTGCGTTCAGGTGTTGGAGCTCGATTTTACACGGAGTCCGTGAAGTGATTCTGTCAGACTTGTTTTTAGACTTTAACTAAAGTTATGTGGAATGTAAATCACAACTTATCAGCTTAATGTTTCCCTTCTGCCTTTAAAATATGAGTTTATATGCTGTTAAATTGATTACTGAGCTTAAAGGTATCTCATGAGTTGTGAAAGTGTAAAACAGAAGTTAAGTTAAACAAGTTCAAGAAAGTTGAACGAAATAGTTGGTTAGAGGGTTACACACAGACATGCTTTATTTTCATATTTTCTATGTTTAAAGAGTTGTTGAAGCTTTTTTTTACTTGTTAGTACAAAGACAACTTGTGTGGCTGTGTACAGTGAGGTACAAGTACAAGTGCAGGGACTTAATTCAAGACTAGCTACTGCTAACTAACTAATACTAACTACTTGTCATGGTTAGAACTGTTGATTACTATGAAAAAAAACAACCACAAGTTGATTTAACAAAGACAGCAAATTTCTGCCATGTCTGTCATGTCAAACTACAAAACACAAGAGTCTCTGTAGAGTTTTAACTCTAAAATCTCCTTCTACGCCTGTATTGTTTTGAGTTGAGTGAACTCTCAGCTGTTCACACATTTATTTAACTCGTTATTTTCAAGACAAAAAGTCGACATTCTCGGATTCCAGCTGCTTATGACAGTAAACAAAATACATTTGTGTTGAGGACATGATTTTGGGCTTTGGAAAACACTAATTTTCACTGTTTTCTGACATTTTATAGACCAAACCACTAATTGATTAGTCAAGAAAAAAACTATCAACTGATTCATCAACGATGTAAACAGTCATGGCTTGCAGCCCTAGTCTGTTGTGTGCTTATGTAGGTGCTTTTACACGAATTGTTGAACGTAATATTATTTTGGCAACACTCACTAAAATGTTAATATTAACAAGCACAGCTATTAATTGATTTGGAGGGATTCTGTCATAAACTACAACTCACAACATACAGAGAACAGAAGTAAACCATGACAAAAGCCTACATTTACAAAGGTAAACTAGTTTAAAATAAAACCAAATCTTTAACTGGCATGCTTCACCTAAGTTTAGCTTGATTTAGCTTTTACTTTTTCTATTAATTCCTATAGGATTTTAATGCAATATTTCCACTTGTATTGACGTGCTTTTGCTGTGATAGTGCCACTTGTACTTTGTAAAGGATCTCAACGCTTCTTTCACCTCTGCACGATTGCACTGAAGGCAGGGCTGCACAGTTTTATAAGTGGCTTTTCTAGAGATTAGTCGTGTGGTGGCCATTAAATGTCGGCTTTGATTGCGTTGTGTTCGCAAAGACACGCCCTGCCAACACTCCACTGTCGTACACACCTTCAGACCTGCAAGCCGTCTGAAAGAGATCTGCCATATCTGTTATATTATGGTCACTGGACACCTGACAAACTAATGTGCATCTATTTTTAGCTGCCATTTATCGTGGCCATTCAGCATCAAATTCCACCGGGGAAGCAAGTGTAAAAGCAGGTTCTGTGTCCTCCTCGGAGATTGTTTAAGCCTTCTTTTCAAAGGAAAGTGTGAATGGCATGTTTGGCTTTTGTCAGTCTGAATATGTCTAAGTAAGAGACGCGAGCTTCCTTCCCCTCTTGGTGCTCAGAAATACAGTCGCTTCATTCAACAAGTGCAATAATTAGAAAGGAATTTGTGGCTTTCATCTCCAGGGCTTCACCTGTAGATCTATGTCTGATAAGTTGAGGGCTTCTTTTCTGGAACCAGCTACAGTCTGACAGACTTCATGAAGCTCAAACTTTGCAGTATTTTGTCAGAATGGGACCCCAGCCATGTTTCTATGGGTATTTGTTCCATCATGTTTATTAACAACGCTCATTACGATACTTCTGTCGCTGTCTGAACTTGTTTTATTACAAAACCTGCCTACAGCGTGTTCTCTTTCTAACGAAACTGCAGAGGAGTTCCAGACTGGGATTTCAGATGTTTCTAACACCATCAAGACTACGTTCAGGTTCTCTCTGAGCAAAACACTGATCCTCTCCCAGCTCCTGAAGTGTTCTTTTTGTAATCTCCATGTAAAGTGGAACTAAAGTCCTACATAACATCGATTAGTAAAGAATCAAATCAGTGTTTATTTTGGTAAAATGTCCCACTGAGAGAAAATAAATAACTTCCTGCTTAAGTAATGCATGCAGAGGAAGAAAAACATCTCAGATGTCAACAAATTAAGCTGTCCCGTTAAGCAGTTATGTCACAATCAGTGCTGTCATTTCCATTTATTCTGTTTTACTATAATAAGAGAAGAAAACTAGAACTCAAATAATTAATGAGGACCGATTTAATCGATAGTTATTCCACAAAAAAAGCTCAGATGAGCTAAAAGACCTGAAAAATACTACAAATTCTGCAGCTGAACTTTGTCTTTTTTGCACTAAGCTACTTAATTAAGTCCATTACAACTCAGATTCATCTTGAGAACCTTTGGAAAGGGTTTGGAACTTTAAGACACATTTGAGGAAAAAGAATCAGCATTTTTTTTTTTTGCATTTTTTTTCTAACGAAATGACTTCATGATCAATTAACTGATTGTCTCGGCCCTTGTCCCATTTGGCAGCGTATATACTCAGCACAGTAGTCTATTCAGAGCTGTGGCACAGATAAACAGAGACAAAGACGGAGTTAGGGATTGTGATGTGATAATGTTAGTTGTTAGACTCCACAGTTTTTACTTCAGGAAGTCCCTGACGTCCGGCTCGGTGGGCACAGCCTCAAAACTAACCAGATAGCTTGTCCCAGAGGACGGAGGGAAGCAGCTCTGCCCAGGACCTCCTCCCTCCGTAAACACCACCAAACATCACTGCATCGCCGGCTGAACGTGACCCGTGTCAGGCTGGACAGCAGATAGCGGTACTTTCAATTGAAGATGCGTTTTTGCCAACAACCCCCCCCACTTTTCAGGAGTAAAGTAAGGGATAGGGATGAACCATATGCAAAATAATTAAGTTTAATCAGTTTGACGATAATTTTTGTTTTTACTTCTCACTGAACCAAATATAATATAATATAGCACCACATATAGTGGTATGTTTTGACACTTTTTACTGCATGTGATTTAAGTATTGTACTTGACCATGGTGCAATTTCAATAATATTTTGATTAATTATAAAAATATAATTTTTACCATTATTCCTGGGTCTTCTTTCATATTTTTTTGAAGATTATTTAGTATGGTAGGCTAAAGGGGCCTAAATTCTGACACATGTTCTTTTTCAAAACACCTCTCCAAAAACATTTTCACCAAAAACTAGTTGCAAAGTAAGATATTTGATTTATTTTCTCTCTTTTTTTGCAGTTAATTAAACATAACAATATATCGGCCATGTATAAATAGCTATAGTTTGTTTTTAGGAAGTGTAAAAAATATGAAAATATCATAGCCTGGAATATTTTCAACGTTGGTCGTGGTTGCGAGTGTAATTGTGACGACTTGCTGTAAAAAGTGTTCTCTGGTGGAAAAATTATGAGGTGGAGTTGCAGAATAATAGAGGTTGCTGGTTTTGGAGGAGGGTTTCCTCACTCTGTATTCCCTTTTTTTTTTTTTCTTTAAGCAATATATTTCATTTCACTAAATTCAGAAACAGAGGACTACCTCTGGATAATGGAACAACACTTTAGGCGTATATTGTAACCACTAGTTTTAAATATTTCAATTTGTGTCAGAGAAGTTGTGCTTTGTCTGTCATTTTGTTATGGTGGACAGATACCGCAACACCCATGAGCCTTGAGCATCATTGCTATGGCAGCACTTTGTTGCTGTGACTGATTTCGATAAAAACTTTAGGCTGCAGATTTAAGTTAGTTTTGCTGTTAGTTTTGCTGTCACATGACAGAATTTAAAGGTCAGTGTTTGGATATTTCTTGCTGTAATACACTCTGAGAGTCCTGGTTAAATTTCTCCATTGAATATTTCTTGTCCACAAGCATCGAGTTTTTATCAAACAACCAGATAACTTGTATTTCAGTTGTTAATCATTTGGACTGATGAGTTAACCGGGAGTTGATCCAAGCTGTAGAACTGCTTCAACTGTGAGTCATTAAACATTTTCTTTGGGAAAAATGAATTGCAGCTTTATTACAGATCTGCTGTATTGAACTACTTCAGTTTTAGCTCGCTGTACTTTATCTGCTGCCAACCGGGTGTATTTCTAAACCAAACAGAGCTGCTCAAGGATGAATTCATGTGAGTGTTGAAGAGCAAACCCAAGGCTTCAGGGCTCCAGTTTGTATTCAGACTGTCAAAAACAGTCTGCACTCAAAACTCACTGAAAAAATTCCCTTTGTGCATCAGACAGCACTGAATGGCCATCTGCTTTAGCTGTCATATAGACTTGGATCTCTCTGGTTAAGTAACAGTAGACACAGCTGTAAATGAAATATTTTTTCCTTTTAAAGTTGGTAGTCTGATTTTATAATTTTTCCATTGCATATATTTAAAGCATGAAATCAAACTGAAATCAGTCAGTGGATTGAACCCTGTTTAGAATACAAATGTGTGATTTTTGAATTTTTTTTGGGAGTGACTTTTACAAACACCTGAATCAAAACATTTTCTCTTCAACTTGACACATCAATGCTTGTGGTTGGCTGAATTTCAAACCGTTTTTAATATTTATTTCTTGGCATTTTGACTAAACTGTTTAGTGGTGGAACAGCAGCTGTTGTTATTAGTCATGGATACAAGCGAACAAATTGTTTCATCCACTGTTGGGAAAGGCGGCTGCTGTGTAAACTTGAATCATTATCACTTGGGAATTGAACTACTCCTTTGTTAGATGAAGCTCGAATCTGTCATTACTGTGAACGAGAGCACTAAATAATTTACGTTGATCCACGGGGAGCCGTGCAGAAACCGTGACTGTGGTTGTTTGTAAACCAGTGG